AGAAAGCGGTACTTGTAGTTGATGAAAGACGCGAGATCTTATAAAATAGGAATGATGTCACATATGGCGCGTGTCATTGGTTGAAGGCAATCGTTCGATTTAGTGCGGTGACGTACGCTAGGGGGAGCGATCTAATAAAATCGAGTGGGCAAAATGTACAGAGGATTCATGGTTTACCAGGTTTACCTCCGGAGCTTCGCCCACTCATCATCATTCACTTCGTGGATAAGCGGAATTTTTTTTTTATATCCAACGCACGTCCAACAGCGCGCGTCACGCTTCGAACCACGAAGTTCGCACAAACCGTGTGCACGAGGGGATGTTGCGGTGGCTTGCGAGGGGCTCAAGCTGAACTTGAACGTGACGTTCGACAACATTTTCGAATACATTTTCCAGGAAGATGAAGTTTTGGAACAGCGCGAGGTCAATTGAACTATCACTTCAAGAGGCCGCCACAATATAGAAACACAATGGAACACTACGCAATAAAAAAAAAACTCTAGTGTCGCTGGCTCCAATAGTTAGCCAAGCTACCACCCCCCATTTTCACTTGCTCTATTGGTAACCCTAGCCGGAATGCCTGGCAAAAAGCAGTAGTGTATGACGCGTTCACACAGGCGAAAACGCGAAGCGACTACATAGGCGAAGCCGCTAAAGTTATTCTAAAATTGTACATTCACACCGCAATATTGACCGTCAGTGCTTACCCCGCTTACCCGTCGGAAGAGGAACCACATTCCGCAGCTGTCCTGAAGATTGGCACAGCACCTAGCGACGCTCTTCTCAGAAGCGGAGCGCAAAGGCCGCTTGGGTGGCGGTCCTCTACCGTAAGGACCTCGAAAACAAAAAAGCTAAACAAAGCTCACAAGGCAAGGCCACTCCGATTTCGTGATCGAAGCAGCGGTGATTGGAGTCTGGCGGCTTGTCTAGATATCCGCACGTGCGATTCTGATGATGATGGTGAGGAAGATGAAGAACGTCGAACGTTCGCATGTGTGTGTAATTTTATTCAAGACTCTAAACGTTTTTCAACACAAAGCCCACGTTAACAGATACTAAAAAAAACGGGTCGAAAAGTAATTTTCCGTTCTGGATAAATCCGTGACATACCAAATTAATCGGGTTTGGCAAAACCAGCTGTCTGGTCGGTTCCCAAAATCAAGTGTAGCTATTAGTGTCTACTTTGTTGTTGATTCTTTTTTCTCACTATCTAAATCTTTGGTTTATTTCTTTTTTTAATATACTGTCTTCACTATAGAACTCCCCCCCCCTTTTTTTTTGTTGTAAGCAATAATGCAGTTATCGTCCATATGAGAATGGAATGGAATGAAAAAACTTTATTTCGGTCCTGCAGGACGCGCTTAGCGCGTAGCGGGCGTCTCCCACGTAGGGACCGACAGGGAGTACCTGGCGGCCGCTTCGTGGGCCTGCTGGACGGCCCATCGCTGGTCGGCGAGAAGTGAGCTCCTGAGGGACCTCTCCCACTTGCTTGAGGTAGAGTCGGGAGGAGTTGTTCTACACTCCCAGAGCATGTGTTCGAGTGTCGCTGTGTGTCCACATGATGGGCATGTGTCGCTGGGGTATGCATCGGGATAATAAACGTGAAGCGTGGCAAGGTTTGGGTACGTGTGTGTCTGTAATAGGCGTAGGGTTAATGCCTGCGGTCGGTTAAGTTTCGGATGTGGGGGTGGAAAAATGCGGCGTTCCAAGTAAAAGTGCTTTGTAATTTCATTGTACGTAATTGGTGCATCCCGATTGGTATCCTACCGAGCAAGATGAGGTTGCCCTGTGACAGTGTGGTCGGTAAGTGCGCGCGCTGCATGATGGGCGATCTCGTTGAGGTTGGATAGGGCACCCGGCACCTGGCCGATATGGGCGGGGAACCAGATGACAGTGTGGTGCTTCAGGGCACTCGGGTCCGCATTGCGCAGGATACGTAACGCCTGGTCGGAGATGACTCCGCGTTCGAAGGCTTTGATGGCCGGCCTGGAGTCGCTGTAGATGAATTCCCGTTTGCTGTCGAGCATAGCTATAGCTACTTGCTCCGCTACTTCGGGGTTTCGGGTGAGGATTGTGGCTGAGTTAAGAGTCTGCTGCGCGGATGATACCGCGACCGCGGCGAAGGCTTGGTTGTTGCGATAGGCAGCGGCGTCCACGAACGAGACGTTGTCCGCTTCCATGTCTATGCGCTTGAGAATGGCGGTCGCCCGCGCAAGGCGCCTGCCTCTGTTGTATTCGGGGTGTACATTTCGTGGTATGGGAGCGATCGTAATAAGGTCGCGGATTTCACGGGGAATTAGAGTCAACTCTGGGGGGTCCCTGGCCCTCGAGGAGAAGAAGCCGAGCTCGCGCAGAATATGGCGGCCCGCCTTGGTTGTAGTGAGTCGGGTCAATTGCACACGTTCCTGAGCTTCGGCGATCTCTTCTAGCGTGTTATGTACGCCAAGCTCGAGGAGTTTGTACGTTGGAGTGGTGATAGGGAGGCCAAGGGCTCGTTTGACCACCTTGCGAATAAGCGCATTGAGTTGATCGCGCTCAGCACGTAGCCACTTGTGTATAGCGGCAACGTACGTAAAATGGCACAAAACAAACGCGTGTACGAGACGCAGCAGGTTGTCTTCTTTGAGGCCATGGTGCCTGTTGGCTACTCTACGTACGAGTCGTATGGCATTCTCAGTCTTAGTCCTGAGCTTGTGTACTGTTTGGGTGTTGGTTCCGCGGGACTCGATGATCATGCCGAGGACCTTGATGGTGTCTACCCTGGGTATAGTACGACCATCTCTGGTGTGGAGGGTGATATTGCGTTCCGCCGGAGGTTTCCACCCTTTGGGCTTGGCACCCCGGCGTTTGGGCAAATATATCAACAGCTCCGACTTCGCAGGTGAGCACCTGAGACCGGTGTGGTCGAGGTAAGACTCGGTGGTGTCGATAGCCTCTTGCAGGGCGGACTCAATGAAGCCATCCGACCCTGTGGAGCACCATATGGTTACATCATCCGCATAGATAGTGTGATTTAGCCCGTCTATTTTTGAAAGTCGTTCGGAAAGCCCGATCATCACGAGGTTGAAGAGCGTGGGTGAGAGGACGGATCCCTGAGGAGTGCCCCGCTGTCCGAGCTCCACTTCTTCCGACACTAGGTCTCCTACGCGGAGGACGGCTCTGCGCCGAGTGAGAAAAGAGCGGATAAAGTAGTAAAATTGATGACCTAGGCCGAGGGCTGCGATCGCTTTCAAGATGAACGAGTGCGTTATTGTATCGAAGGCCTTTTCTAAATCGAGACCGAGTGTTGCACGAGTGTCCCGAGTGTTTCCGCCATCTAGAATTTGATGCTTTAGGAGTAACATGGCGTCTTGAGTGGATAACCCTGGTCGGAAGCCAATCATGTGGTGCGGGATGTAGTCGTTATCTTCGAGGTATCGACCAACCCTGCTGAGGACGACGTGCTCAGCCACTTTGCCCACGCACGACGTGAGAGATATGGGACTATATGAGACTGGGTCATATGGGTCCATATGAGACTATATGTTCTCTTGGCCAATCCCCCAGAGTGGGTACGAGCCATGGATTAGAGGATACAAACAAACAAACAAACAAACAAACAGTTCGCTTGTTAAGAAGAAATAATGTCATGCAGAAGCCAAATTTTTATAAAGCATGGTCTCTTGAAGTGAAAATATTATTATTATTATTATTATTATTATTATTATTATTATTAATATTATTATTAGTAGTAGTAGTAGTAGGAGGAGGAGGAGGAGGAGGAGGGGGGCGGAGGGGAGAAGGAGAAGGAGGAAGATTATTTACAATTTTATATGCCTACGCTATAATGTTTAAATTCATGGTTAACAAACAGATCTGTACGGCTTAGCGTAAGTTGGTTTAGTATTTTGTTTCAGTGTACTTTTATTGAATCAAACCTTTCTCGTGTTTTTAGTGTGTTCTTACGATTTAAAAACAGCATCATCACCATCATCATTATCATCATCATCAGTACTCCTGTTACCACCTTTGACGAAGCCGGCGAACTTTCCCAAAATAAGTGTAAACACAAAATGTTGTACAGAAAAAACACAGCGCGTAAGGGACTGATATGGAACTGCTTTTAAATAACATGAAGCATTGATTCTCGAGAAAGCGAACGCAATCGCAAAACAATTATACAACAACTGTTGGCGCAACTTCTGCGATTCCTTGAAAGGCACATTAAGCCCAGTAAAGTACATGCAAAACATCCAATTTGGTCTTCTGGCCTCCTCCGCGACAGGAACCGAAAGAAATGCTAGCCTTTAACGACTATCTGCGGAATTCACTGGCGACCGGGATCAATAATAAAAGAGCTCAAAGAAGCGTACAACTGAAAACGCAAGCAAAACGGAAACCCGAAACCTACAGTCTAGAGTGCGATGGTGGACCCAACACTGAGCTCGAAGCACACACAGGCCGTCAATGTTTGCGCGGCAGCGCAAGACTTCAAAAGAAATACAGAACCCGGATTGGACGGCGTAACAAGTGCCGCGATACAGAACCTCAGCAGGGAAACATAACAAGCCATTGCATACCAAGACAGGAAACTGGGAATGTTGCACCAGACACGTGCATCTGCTACCGCGATAACTGAACTGGGCCTATCTGCAGGGCAACAAGCGAGCTGAAAACATGAGAGGAAATAGGATTCAAGTTCTCGTGATCTTTAACTGCGCACATTGAACATTCTATTTTTTTCGCAATTAATCGAGCTACTAAATATGAACACCCTTATTATCTGGCAGACTGCTAAACACATTTGTCCAATCTATAAGATCAACCCATTCTTTTATTTTTCTCTGGAGTTCAAAAAAAAAAATACCGCAGAGAAAGCTTTACTTTAAGCTACCAACAAAAGGGAGCAATGAACTGGAGCCGACGCTTCCGTTGCATTTGCCGGAAGTTTCTATGCCAATTGCGCCTTTCTGCACCCCCCCCCCCCTCCTCAACAGCAGTTCTTTTCGTATCACTTTCAACGCCCTACCAAGCCACATACGTCGGTCGGGCAAATGGGTCTGCCTCCATTCATAATCATTGTAGTGCCTGTCGTTAATGTCTTCGTGATCCAACACGGTACAAACGTAAGTCGATTTCGCTTTCCCTAAATTCGTGCGTCCCCAAGTTTAGCTTCTGGGAGGTTGCTGTGAGGTAGATGTTTCAATGTAAGTGCTTGAACTAAGATTCTAAAACCACGAAGTGCTATAGAACTAAGTTCGATGTGAGTGCTAGACCCATAGTCAGGACCTAAAGGTTTAACCATTGTTGTGCATTTTCGGGTATTAATAATAACTTGAAGGAAGGAGGAATGATGATGATAAAAAAAAGAGACAAAACAGCCGAGTGTTGGAGTTAAGTGCAGAAACGCTGGCAATTTACAACGATGCTCCTCTGACGCATTGATGTGATCACAGTAGTCGCGAAGACGTTCTTCTTTTCACATGGCCCAAGTGAAGTATGTAAGCAACACCTAACCATGGACGATGCAGGAGTGGGTAAAGTGGTCGATCAATCTTTTGATAGGGTGTAAATCGGAGAAACAGACATATTTGATATGCTTATCAAACCAAACGTCTTTGCACAACTTGTGGCGCAGTCCGGAAAGAACATTCTTGCTTTCTAAAATGTAAATGGGTACTGGTGCCAAGCTTTTTTTTGGGGGGGGCGGGGGGGGGGGGGCGGGTGACTGGAGTGGTATTATGTTCACAATTTTATTTCCGAGCCCTCGCAACGAAGTCAGGTCACCTGACCCCCCAGAGAAACGATGACTCATTGTTTGCAGGATTTAGTATATGATACTACCATCTGTATAAAAATCTGTATAAAAATCAATTGTAGCTCGTGCTCCTTTGTAGTCGGAATATATTACTCAGATGTGAAATCTATGCAACCTGGCGAGAGAGTAAGCTGCCCGTAAAATGTCTACAAGGCTGAATGAGAAGCTAGGCCATTCGAATAATGTGTAGGGCACACAACCAGTAATGCTGGTACTAACTTCGTTAACCTGCAATATCGCTTTTAACCTTTTTTGGCCCGTGATCAATCTCACTAAAACGTTGGTGTTGATGAAATCCCGTTAACTATAATTCACAGCTGCTCCTTCAAAGCTGGCTCTTATAATGAATCGAGGAAAATATTTCCCATATAGCAAGATTCAAGCGATTTCATTTACTTTAAATGGAAGGCTAGATAATGTCTTCTAGTGCTGTTTGTAATGCGTAAGAAATGAACAAATCTTATTAACACTCAGCGTTCCGGAGGCAATCTACGCTTTATTATCTGTTTTTTTTTACTCTCATAACAGGCATATCTTCTTACGCCACTATGGCAAAAGCATTTGCCTAACATTTTATAATCAAAGATAGAGTCAAAGAGAGAGTCAAGGAGATAGTCAAAGATAGAAGAGAAACCAAGATGATTATGCCGGTGTAGAAAAAGAATACTCTATTTTAAGCATTTCTTTTTTTTAGGTCACACAACAAACCGAGCATGTTCCAAACACCGGTAAGCTTTTCTTTATGGTTTACCACGGCTTCGTCTTTTTCAGTGTGACTTTTTCCTGTTCTAGCAGGTTTGCGTACGTTCAGCAGCATACCTGCTAACCGCAATCACAACTACTGCAAACCGCCGCGTAAGACCCATAAAATTTGTCCTCGCAGTTTCCTCACGTATGCGATCCCACTCATCTATGTAAAACAATCCGGCCGTGAGGTTAAACAGAAAACAAAGTGCCCGTGTGAGAGAAAAGAAATAAGATATATGCTACGCCAGCATAACCATTCCATTATAGCTTAACCTAAATTAATTTAGCTGGATATATGACGGACTTCCTCTGCACACAGCCACTCTGTCATTACCTTCAGTTTGAGGCACGCAATATTGCGCATGACCTTTTCAGGCATCATTAAAATGTTACACAGGAAATATCACCGCGTCATAAACTTGGAGAAGGTCAAAGTTCATCAAAACCATAACTTCTTTTGCCAATTCATGAACTATTTCCTGATGTTATTCCTTGCTTGCTCTCATGCGGTACAATGCCGGTAATATTGACTCTGTTTGAACAATCATAGGAACAAATCTGTATCACACAAATGTCCATGCTCTTGCACTTGAGGAACCCGATAATTCTCGCATTTGTTGTTTTCAAATGTGAAGCATTTCTTACCGAACTCCAGGCATTTTCGTCGTTTCTATCTATCTATCTATCTATCTATCTATCTATCTATCTATCTATCTATCTATCTATCTATCTATCTATCTATCTGTCTATCTATCTATCTATCTATCTATTTATCTATCTATCTATCTATCTATCTATCCATCTATCTATCTATCTACGTCTGTGTGCTCTCGTGACCATCTCCATTACATGGGGTTGACCAAATTGGTATAGGAGGGTAAGAGGTTATGGAAAGTATATGTGGCTGGCGATGACATCAATAGCGTGAAAACTTCATCCCGTACGTTGTCAGCCTTTAGGTGCCACAGCTGATCGACAGTTTATATCTGCCCCGAATCGGTAAGAGCAGACGTTGCTAATTTATATTCGAGAGCGTAAACGGAAACTTGCATCGGCAGCACTTACTTGGCGAGGGCAGAAATAAAAATATCAGGGTCCGAGCAGAAATAGAATCCAACCTTTCTGCGTGGAGCTCAGGTAGTCTACCGCATAGCCACGCCACATCTCAATACTGCTTTGAAGAATGACTCTACGAATGCGTAATGTTGACAAAAAGACCATTGTGGTTGTGGTTGCAGTGCTATATATCTTTGTATCGCCCCGCCACGGTGGTCTAGTGGCTGAGGTACGGGGCTGCGATCCCGCGACCTGCGGCTGCGGTGGCTGCATTTTCAGTGGAGGCGAGAACGCTTTAGGCCCGTGTGCTCAGATTTTAGGGCTCTGTAAAGAACCCCAGGTGGTCAAAATTTCCAGAGCCCCCCAGTATGGCGTCTCTCATAATCGTATGGTAGTTTTAGGACGTTAAACCCCGCATATCAATCAAGTCATATCTTTGCACAAATTGCATATTCACTCCTATGATACAGTCTTCAAGTCGGGTCAACGTCATGTGTATGGTTAAGCGCCATTTAGTGAAGTTAGTCGACGTAGCACTAGCCAGGCCAGCCATCCTCGCAAACACAGGCGCTGCGTATCAGTTTACCACTTTTGGTGTTGGTAATACTCACGTTACTGTTAGCATCATTACGCGACTGTAAACAACTGGGTATATAAAACATATGCAACTTTTCGACATATGTCTGTTCGGAAAGTATTTCTTTATATATTTTAACATCATTTCGTAACAATATGATTAATAAAAAAATTTGCAGATCCTGTGCACATACCACGAGAATCGACGTCATGCAAAGCATGTGGAGGAAAAGTGACCGTTCTCCTTCTGTTAGTTTGTTTGTTTGTTTTTGCGACACGTTACAAAATCACGCTAAGCATATGTACAAATGTACAGACGAAGAGGCAGGTCTATTAAGCAGTAGCGCTTTTTTTACGTAAGCAGTTGTTAGCAGTTGAGCAACGATTCCAAGAGCACCATGGGTATTACCAACACCAGAAGCGGTAAGCTGAAACGTAGCGTTTTCGCTTGGGAGGATGGCAGCCCTGGATAGTGCTAGATCAACTTCAATGGTTGGCGCTTAACAACATTTGACCCTAACCATACTTGGCACTATCAGGAACATATACGAAATGTTTATAAAATTGGATTGGAAGCGCTGCCACCACATTTGATACGTCTCACCAAAATATCGCTTGTATCGAATGTTTTTCATAAGGATTTCCGAGATATGGCCCGGCTCTGCGGTAGAATACTCAATTTTAATGCGGAATGTTTGGGTTCGATTCTCGCTGAGATAGTAACCTACACTGTTTGCATTCGTCCGCTCAAGGCTGCCGATCTCAGTTTGAACACTGTCACCAATAATTTACATGATTGCTTAGATCACTAAGGTGTTTGACGTCATACGGGAGGGTATTTGCACATTATTCATGTCATGGCGAGACAGCCATAATCGTGAAGGCCTCTTATTACCCGTGTACATACTTTAGTGTATCCTAAGCTAATGAGATGACAAGTGAGAACTCAGACGCAGGCGGCAAGATATATAGATACGTAGATTGAAAAACTAAAAGTGCCTCCAGTACGGAAATAAATGTTTCGCATTTAGAAAAGTATACCGTGGTCACCTTCTCCCAGCATGCTTCACGTGGCTTCAATTTCCATGTGAGGTGAGATTTGCCGATTTTTTTTGGAAATATGTGTTTGTGTGTGAGAGAGAGAAATAGAGAGAGAGAACACACGCGCAATGAACTAATTCGTACTTTATAAAATGCTTAGGCTAACCAGAATAATAATTACTACTTACTTTGTTTCCTTTGACCTTCTATGAGGTCGTAACACGTTTTTAGTCCCCTTTACCAAGTTAACAAACGGTGATTAGTTTTCCTGATGCAACTGAAATTTGTGCCTGAAAGAAATCAGAGTGACATAACGTATTATTGTCACCTTCCACCGTTCACTTCTCGTTCCAGTTCTTCCGGATGTGAGCAACCTCACTCTGGTATCCACTGACAAGACATCGTTCACGGTGTCCTGGGAGCGTCCCAAGGATCACTTCGACTATTATCTAGTCGAGGTGACCGGCAGCAGCCACGAAGATGGTGACGTCGGACCATATCGGGTAGGCTTGTGCGCAAACGGCTCCATCGTCGATGCGCACCAGGAACAAGTCACCTGCGACCACATTGAACCCTGCACCAACATCAGTTTCAGAATACGCACCCACGCAAAAGGGCCACCGCAACGTACATCTTTGGGGGTCACACTGGATGGCATCTTCGTTCCCGGGCAAGGTGACATTTCATCAACGTGTCTTGAAGATAACGTGTCCTGCGTAGTGATACTGAAGGACAAGAAAGAGAAAAACCTGGCTGGGGTTTAACTCTCGTAAACTTAGTAACTAGTATTCACTAAGAAAAAGTATGCTTAGCTTGGTTTTTTTAAAGACTATGGACACGGGTGGAGGGGCTGCAATAGGTTCAATATTGGCACGCTTTTGAGCTCGTTCTTTTCCGTGACGCGCTTCTGACCTGCCCTTGCTTCGGTGTTTCGTTAGGCAACCATGGCCTCTGCTTGAGATTTCGCAGCGTGCCACCTAGCTATAGCTACTGGATGACTGCGTTCGTCATGTTCTTTGTGCTGAAACGTACGTGTAAATGGTGAGAGTGGAAAAACAAGCGCAGGCGAAGCCGCCTTCAATATTTTGTCGATTCCCGTGGCACTACAGCTGCAATGTCCGTCCACAGGGAAACCCACGACGTGACAGGAGCAAGAGAGATGCAGTAACCATGAAGCAGCAGCTGTGGCTGTATCGTCCGAGCTGGTCGAGAAAGAGACAAAGCTTTATTTTTCTCTTTGCTGGGGTCAGGGACGAAAGCCTCCAGTTGGCTCCGGTTCGCTACCAGTCAACTAGGATTTTATAAACTATTTATACCGTCTTACGATCAACAACTAGAATTCGTGAATGCTTAGAGCTTTGCCTAAACGGTCACTCCTTATTTCTTTTATTTTTGTTGTTTGCGCGTCATCATCATAGTCAGCCTGGCTGCACCCCCTTGCAGGCCAAAAGGATCTCCCGCCGATTAACACTGTCCCGTGCTTCCTGCAGTCTTGTTACCAATGCAAACTTCTTAATCTGCTCTCACACCTAACTTTTCGTCTCTCTTTCACGCGTTTGCCTTCTCTTGGAATCTAGTCTGTTAATCTTAACGACCAGCTGTTGTCTAGCAGCCCTACGCTACAATCCTGACCCACACTTGGCCCACGCTCTACACACATCCATTTATTTTTCTTCATTTCGACTAAGATTTTTCTAACACCCATTTATTCTGTGACCCACTATGCCCTCTTCTTGTCTCTTATGGTTACACCTGCCACCTGCTCGCTGCGTCCTCCTCAAGTGAAATAGAATACTTTCTAACCCCCGTATTCAGAAACGCTCCTCGACTCGAATTCCATCCTTCACTTGACTGAGTTGAGCACTGTGCCGCTGCTCGACTGAAATTGACGCTGCGCTTCTCAAGAATCGCTGCAGAATATTGCCGACATGCACTGACTTCGTCTGTCCAGAGATGGCTCTCCCATCGGCTTTTTCATGTCAATGAGAGCTCTTGAGTGAAGGAGCGTTTGTGAATACGAGGGTGAGAGTCTTCAAGTTTCTGTTGCGCAGGTGAATACGTAATACGAGATTGTTGCAATAAAAGTCTCCACCCCCTACGCCCCCATTTCATGCTACAGGCCCAGATTCTCCGAGAAGTGTGTTGATGTATTGGTCAACGCCATCGCTGAGCCTACTAAGTTGGAGACCACCTGACGAAGGGTACGGCACCGTCCAGGAATACAGGGTGAGGATGTGTCAGCGATACTGGTCGTGCGACGTCCAGCAGGAAATGGCTGGTTGCGAGGAGTATCCCACATCAAACAACGAGTTGCGCTTGAATACAAGGCGAGGAACGCGGTACTGCGTCCTCGTGAGCTCAAGAATGCGGTGCGGTGGCCAAGTTGTCACGGGCCGTCCAGTTGTGACGGAGGTCATGGCGCCCTTGTCTGGTGAGAGAGTGTTGGCTTATTGTCTTACTACATTAGCTTTGATTGATACGTGTGGTTTAATGTCCCAAAACCACCATACGATTATGAGAGACGCTGTAGTGGAGGGCTCCGGAAATTTTGACCACCTGGGTTTGTTTAAAGTGCACCCAAATCTGAGCACACGGGCCTACAGCATTTTCGCCTCCATCGAAAATGCAGCCGCCGCAGCTGGGATTCAATTGCGCGACCTGCGGGTGTTTGAAGTAAACAGATATATAGATATATAGACGGTGTCAAGGCAACAAGCGTTGTACCCCAGAAAACTTCCAGTCACGTCATTTGCCAGCTCCTAATTTCGAAACGAAAAGCACGTTTTCAAGTTCCTTTTAAATGTAACAAATGCATCTCTTTAGTTTTTCAGAAGAAAAGAACGCGCGCAAAGTTCAAAGAAATCTCTTATAATTTTTATGTAGCTCAAAAGAACACTTATTGGACTATATTTTGCCAAATGAGGGAATTTTCTAAAGCTCTCTTTACCCACCGACGTTATTTTGGCACATTGGTACGCGAAAGCAGATGTCATCAAGGTGCTTGTAAACAGTGAAAGTGTTATACAGACATAAACAGGGTGAGAGGACCTCACTAATTAGGTACATGGCACTTCGAACCACAAATTTACCATACTAATGCCTCGTTAATTAACAATATGGTAATTATGACTTCACCGTATAGTAATACAGGTCGGCCCCAAACTTCGCTGTTAGTCCAGCCTTGCACCGCTAGTTCAAGCTTCTTGCATTTTGTTTCAAGAGTGTAGACTTTGTCGCAGCGCCACCAATTCGCTTGTCTTTTCCATGAAAATCTCGTTGCAGCGTTTCCCCGCGTGACCAACGTAACCCAGATATCGGCTGGGAACAGATCCTTCACGGTGTCCTGGGAGCGGCCCAAGGAAAAGTTCGACTATTACCGAGTGGAGGTCAGTCGCAGCGGCACCGTCGTTGATGTCGGTTCGTGCGCAAAGGGCACCATAATCGACGCGAAGAAGGCGCGGCTCACCTGTGACAACGTCGAGGACTGCAGCAATGTTACCTTCAAGATACGTGCTTACAACAGAGGGCCACCTGAGCGGGGATCTTTTAATGCAGCCTTCAAGGACATCTTCATACCCGGCCAAGGTGACTTTTTGTCAGATCAATGCTCGACTTAAACTGCTCTGACAATTTTATGGGCGAAGCACCTCAGGACCCCACGATTTCCCAACGTCCATAAGCAACCATTCGGCGCCACCAGCGAATGTAGCGCAGGTCTATAGGAACAAACCAAAACTGTCTAGGAACAACAAGCAGGTTAAAAAAAAGGCTATTATTTGAACAGCAAAATTGAATGTCAAAACACCATAACAACATCGACATTTAACAAGCCGCCAATCTAAGCATATGACTGAACAGAATGTTAACGAGAACAAAATAACAGGCTGTTAACCGAAATAAAATAGAAGGCCATAACATCATAAGAGTGGCAAAGCGAAATTGTTGACAAGCTATTTTAAGTTTAAAAGCCTAGAAAATGGTGGCTAAGCGCTGTCTACCAGAACTGCAGGCTTATTTACATGCGCGAGTGCGCAGTGTCACGAATAATTTACAGTAAATACGAGATATCCCCTGTGCTCGCCCACTCATCATGATTCACTTCGGGGAGGAGGAGGAGGAAAAAAACCTTTATTGATGCTGGCTGTGCCAGATAGCCCTTATCCCCACCGGGCTGGTTGACATCCCTAGTCCGGGACGTCATTAGTCGAGGCTGCCACCCGAGCCCGCTGGACTAGAGTTCACTGTTCCTCTAGTGTGGAGCTATTGAGTAGGGTCGTCTCCCAGTCCTCTTTGGTGGGGTTGGGAAAGGGGGTTCATTTTGGGTTCATTTGGCAGGCCCAGACCATATGGTAAGTGTTGGCCACTTCCCCACAGTACTGGCACTGTCCACTTATTTTTGGATCGTAATATTTGAGTATGGCTGGACAGAGCAGCGTATTTGTGTGTAGGTGCCGCAGGACGCGCTCCTCCGCTTTCGAGAGTCCCTTCGCTGGTGCGGGATACAAGCGGCGTTGCTCAATGTAGTATTTTTTGATTTCTCGAAACCGTGTTAAAGGTGTGGGAAGTTCAGGTCTATCAGGAGAACGGGGAGTTTCCCGGGAAATAAGCACGCGGGCCGCTGCATGTGCAGCCTCGTTACCCTGTAGACCCTGATGTCCCGGAGTCTATATAAGACGTTTTGGGGTAGGATCGCGGTTCCTGATGCTTAATTTTAAAAGTCTATTAGCCAATGGAGAGATTTCTCCAGCAAGATAGCTCTCGCAGGCTCTTCGAGAGTCTGTAACTATTCGTTTTGAGTTTGGATGGGATACTGCCAGTGCAAAGGCCACCTCCTCCACCTTACTTGAGCTTGTGGCTTTGAAAGTGAGGCCGTCCACCTGCGTTCCTTGATGTATTACCGCCGCCGTGTAGTATCCCCTAGGTGACGGCCCGGCCACATCGATGTAATAGACCCCATTACGGGAGCCAAGCCGTTGTTCAAGTGCCTCAGCGCGCACTTGCCTTCTACCCTGGTGCGCCTCTCATGGTCATATTTCGGGGAAGCGGGGACACCCAGAGTTTTGTTCTCCAAAGTTCAGTAATACGCTCCGCGTTTTCGATTTCGCATTCGTGCCGGATCAAGAGGCGGTCCAGTAGGCGCCGCCCGGGGGGCGTCTGCGTAAGACGCGTATATTGATTTGTGAGGTGGGTTTCTTGGAGCTCTTGTATAGAGTTAAAGACTCCCAATGCATAGAGTTTCTGATTTGAAGTGCTGATGGGTAAATCAAGTGCGCGCTTAATTACTTTTCTAAGGATAGCATCGACTATGTTCTCTTCGTGTTTAGTCATTCGTAAGTACGGTATTGAATATAGAATCCTGCTAGTTACAAAGGCATTGGCGAGCCGAATCGCGTCCCTTCCTCGTAGCCCCCCGCGCTTGTTTGACACTCGGCGGATCATGTGCCCTACCTGTTCTCCAATTTTCCGTATCTTGTCTAGCGTAGTGCTGTTTTTTGTTCTGTTGTGAATCAGAAGGCCAAGGATTCGTAGTTCTGAAACCTCTCGTATTGTTGACATCGGGGAGATGCGTAGATTTTTTTAACATAGACGGAAAATTCTGCTGTCGGGTAGTCGGGGCTTCTGCATACACGTGAGCCAAAGCTTACTACGCAGCACACGGCATAACATTTGCTTTGAAATTCTAAAATCGGGAAACCATTAGCTCTAACCTCAAATTGTGAGGCCATATACTCAAGATCAACCACTGCGCATACTCAAAAGCACACGGACGCTGCCATCAACTGCTTTGAGCATCGTGACTTGCTTAGTTACCGTGGACGCCACGGTGTGCCTGCTCCGTGCTCTGCACCAGCACACTCGAGAACACACTGCAGGTGAGTCACGCATTCAAAGAAGGCAAGAAAACGAAGTGCTCAAAACCACGGCTCGTCATGATGAATAGACGTAGCTGCTTATCAATACCCATATCGTTCTTTCTAATCGTGTCATGTTCCCGGAAATATAAATCAGGGATTAACTTTAAGTCAGTGCTGCTTAGTACATTTAGAAAGTGTGAACAAGAGGGCAACAATGAATGTCGGACGAAAGTCAATTGCGTTGGCTGTGAGCGCAAGCAAATGGCAGAACGCTTACAGAAAATCATTCACACTGTGAAAACCAGGAGTTCGGAACGCTAGGCCCCGCATACGGCCCACCGGCCTTTCGTTTGCGGCTTTATTACAGATTTTTTTTTGCGTGTACGTAATGATACTCGCATTTTCTCGCCTATGAAGATTGAAAATTTTTTTCTTTGGGCAAGATATGGGATGATGATGATGATGGTGGTGGTGGTGATGATGATGATGATGATGATGATGATGATGTCTCCACTATGGCTCTTGCCCACTCAGGAGGATTGGCCCTGGTCTAACGCTTCTTTTTCTTTAACACGAAAGTGTTTTATGTCAGGGTTTCCCACAGCTTCGCCAACGCATTTCCGTCCCAGATAAGGCCTTGTAAAATATGTACCACCAGTTTGCAAAGAAAAAATTTAGAAAAAAGTTCCAGTGCGTCATTTTTTATTTGGGGGGGGGGGGATGCACTGCACCTGAGTTGAAACATCACCGTGGAACGAAGAGCCTACATTTCAGAATCGGCCTCCAAATTTTAGTGATTGTGAAAGCCAGTATCAAAACTGTTTCTCGAAAACTGACGCTCTTCAGCAAAAAAAAAAATGGCTGTGAGGTGTCAATTTGTTCGATTTTGCCCCTCATCTTCCCCCTGAACCATCCTCACTATCACAAAAGGATTGACTGATGGCTAAGTCGTATTGCTTAATTCAGAATAGTAGCGCGAAGAAGCACGCGGACAGATCAAGACGGGACACAGCGCTATACTTTATATTTTAGCGCTGTGTCCCGTCTTGATCTCTCTGTGTGCTTCCCTAAGCTATATACTATGTGGCATTCACTATCCCAGACAAACTATCGTAAACTTGGGCTCGCTTGTTGAGGTAAGTTTGCGGCCCCTGATTCAGGGTGACCTACTATTCACTGCAGCGCTGTATTGGGGCCCCTTACGTTTCCCGCAGCCGCCTTCCCTCCATTTGTGACGGCCCCAGCTAAAAGCTCAGGCCTCCAGGGCCTTGTCTACTTGTTTCTCCTCGATGCAACTGAACGTACGCCTTAACAGAAATGCTTTCGTTAAACCAATAGTCTCCGACGGACCTCACCTAACGGGCCACCGTCCAGACGTTTAGTTCCTCATGGGCCGCGATTGTTCGAGCGGGGGAGAAGGAGTGAAGTTTGAGTAATATGTCACATTATTTCTTCACTGTCGGAGACGAGGAAACCGTGCGGACCTGTTGCCTGCAAATTTTGCCAGGCTAGATCCACCGACAACCTACAACATCCTAATCCTAACCAGGTCTCGAGACAAGTATCGATACTGGCTTCCGCAATTAGAAAATTTAGGAGGCCTATTCTCAAAGTAGGGTTTTCGTTCTACAGTAATATTTAAACTCGTACACAGAGCATAGATTGCCTCACGGAAAAAAGAAAAGCTTGACAGTACTCTCGTCACCGTAGTTCACCCGAGCATGGTGTTATAATTGCAATAGGCTAGAAAATGCAGCAAGTATCATTCTTGCAAGCGTCACAGAACGCTTCTCCTTATGAAGCAGCGGGCGGCTAATAAAATGTCCACCTGTTTCAGATCCCTGCCTTAGGTCACTGAGCGCCTTTATTGGGAGAAACATGTCAGGCAAGAAAACTCATCTAGCGGTATATGAAGTTCTGAACATCAAAATCTGGCGCTAATGACCTTCTTGTGTAGCCATCGGCGTAGTTCTAAAGCATGCGCTAAATGCGATTCACTATTGCGAAACCCTTGGAAGTGCGTAGCACGAGCACCCCACGATTCCCGTTGCACTGTTATTAGTCTCTGTTCATGTATGATCTCTCGCAGCAGTTTCTAACGTCCGCGCCGGAGAAACACCAGTGAGAGCAGGAATCGCGCGCTTGAAGGAACGGTGACGCCCTTTCTCGGGAGACGCGAGTGTCAGGTGCATGATTCCCACGTGTTTCAAGCGATCTTAAAGTTAATTATTGCGATTACACCTGGGCTATTAGACGCGACGCAGCTTACACTCGGGTCTGTGTCCGTCCCTCGGCGACCATCCACTCCCCCACTGCGCATGCGCCAACTCTTCCCCTCTCATCGCGTGAGCGCGAGACGGTGGAAGGATGTGGGGTGGAGGAGGTCGCAGAGGGCTGCCTACGCTTTGTTTCTCCTCTCCCGTTTATCTCTCTGCCACAGCTGTGCGCTCGTATATAATGCTGCACACGCTCGCTCCGTGGCACTCTCCTAGGAGAGCTGGATGTTCAGTTTGCGGCACACACTCACAAACTGGATGGGGTGTACAATAGCATACACACAACTCCACACCTAATTGAAACAGACACGGAAACGTACAATGGAAACGCAAGTGAACACCAGCGCTGCTTCGCATACCCACATGGTTCCCTTTAGTGGCAGATGGAATAATTTTGTTCTGTTAATTATATTGTTTTAGACCTTGTTTATTTACGTTAACCTGGCTTGGAGAATCGCTAGCCTTGTCTTAGATCTGTATTGACCTCATATGATTTTGAGCGCCATCAAGCCACATGAGGTCTCTGGATGGACGCTTGTTCCATAAAGTGATACGCACTCAAAAAGTCTAACGACCTACCTCTGATGACGTTGTGCTGCTAAGTCACCACGTGGTGTCATAGTAAAGTCACAGATAGCAGAAATTCATAAGATCGTCGTAACGTCACGTGATGGCGTCATCGCATGCTATAGCTTGGTCAAAGGTAGTCGATTTCGGATGTAGTGCATATTCGAGGGAGGTGCAGTACGCTTCAGTTAAGGAAGAGCAACAATTCAACGGACTGTGAACCCCGATGTAGTTTAATGCGAGTCGCTTACAGTGGCACGTATGATGTTGCCCTAGCCTTGTTGCCGATTGCGCAAATTAAGGCATTATCAAGTGTGCAGCAGAATTTCACCTTCTAGCGTTACAGAGAGCGTAACATACTGCCGAACGTTTCCACCTTCCAGCTGCAGACGCGCCCAACAACGTGAGTATACTCGGGATATCTCCGTCGCTAAGCCGGCTGCAATGGGAACAGCCGGACAACGTATCTGACACCCTACGCGACTATACGGTGAGGATATGCCCCTGGTACTGGCCATGCGACGCCGAGCCTGACTTGACCAGTTGCTTCGAGAATCGCACGACGGAAAACTGGCTCGACTTCGAGACAACGGAAAGAACGCCTTACTGCGTCCAAGTGAAGGCAAACACACTATGTGGAGATCAAGTCATCGCGGGCCTTCCAGCCACGGCGGAGGTCATTGTGCCTTTCCTTGGTGAGGAAGCTGAGAAATAAACAATTTTGAGGTAATAGTTTTTGAGATATGGTTCAATGCTTCTCATATTCAGACCATCTGATATTATTGTGTGCCGACATCACACGGTACGTGGGCCCCTGGCGTTTCGTCGCCATAGAAACGTGGCTGCCGCCACCAGTATCGAACCCGCGAGATTTGAATCAGCATCCGAGCACCATAACCACCACTCCAAGGTGTGAGATGTCTTTTTTGTTATTTTATTTGAGCATACTGCAAGCTAAATTGGCTCTTGAAGGACAACCCTTGCCAACAGGCTTCGGCAGCTGCATTTCCGATGGAGGCGAAAATGTTGTAGGCCAGTGTGCTCAGATTTGGGTGCACGTTAAACAACCTCAGATGGTCAAATTTCCGGAGCCCTCCACTACGGCGTCTCTCATAATCATGTTGTGGTTTTGCGATGTTAAACCCCACATATCAATAAATCAACCCTTGCAAACAATGCATTCGGACGTAAAATCACGTGATTACATTTCGATTGTACGATTCTTGCGGTTTATTTTGTACTTTTTCGTCACCGAACATCAACACACAGTACTTCAAGAAAGACACTAAAAGCGTAGCTGTGCGTGCCTAGACAGGTGTCCCTTTGTAGATTAGAGCAATTTAATAGGACATAATGATCATAATCGTCATATGATGACAACCAGACGCAATGCCTGTTTGATTTTTCCCTTCCCAGTTTTCAGTGACAAGGTCTGTTGTTTATTCTGAGAAAGCTTTCGCGGATATATTTGGTGCTGCCAAGCGGGAAGCAAGACAACGATTTGGAAAAGCCCTGGAACGCTAAAAATGCTACTGACACGAAACTTTTTCATTTTTCGCAGTTCGCGATAACCGGTCAAGCCCTCAAAAACCTGGAAAATGTACTTGTAGGAATAAGTGTGGCTAGAAAACATGTTTACGACGTGTTTCTAAAGGCTAGTTTTTCTTTCTACTTTCCCCTCACGTCAAGTCATCGTATGTGCCTTCCGTCAAGATATCCAGACATATTCATCGCCGCTCTATTACGTGACTCCGTTAGTGTCTTTCGCCATCATAATCTTGCCATAGTGGTTTGTGAACTCCCCAAAATCGGTACTGTGCCTGACTAAACAATGTCGAAGTGAAATACGACATGAACATTTGCTGAACGTCACAGTTGCTTAGGGCATTTCGGAAAACAGCAGATTTCTAAGGCAATGTCAAGTGAGCTCAGAAGATTGAGTTCGATACTCTTTTAGAGAAGGAGTATCGAAGACGGTTGTGAAAAATACTTGTTTTTAGCAAAAGCTGCATATAACTATAAGAAACGAAAAAACCGTTCGGCACCGGTGTCACGAACGGTCTCCATTGGGTTTGTCATCAGTTACGTCGTTCACAGCGTCGTACCAAAGCAAGCGCGCTATTGGCTACGTCTTGAGTGACGTAGTCCATCCCGTCACAGCCGTGGTGCCGAGTGCGCGCATATCAGTTTCTACTGAGACCTACGAACAATTCTGAAAGAGCGCTGGCAGGGGAAACTTGGGAGAGCTCGCATTCGCCGGGCCGATGGCGCTGTTCGAGCTCCATCGGCCCGGGAGTGATTTTAAATGAAAAGAAGGGAAAAGTAAGCCCGGTAACAGCCTCTCAGGGGGAGGACACCTCAACAGTAGCTCACGAGGCATGGGGGTAAAGGAGGGATTAATAGGATAGGATTAAAAGGTAAAGAGACAGAGAGAGGAAGGAGACAGCGAGGTGCAGGGACAGCGAACGACGAAAGTAAGGAGAAGACAGGAAAGAGGGACACGTTCGCAGGAGTCCGAAGACGGGGCATCACTCGACGAGAGCTCTTGTGGGCGTCAGGAGATGGCGTAGGGCGAGTCCAGTCGGCCAGAGCTGCGCTGTCGTCGGAGATCGCGGGGGCACAACTGGTCGGCACGAAATCCAGCGATCGAGTGCGGGAGGCCCAGAAGTGCAGGCAGCAACTGCGTACCGATTATCCGACGGCCTTTCGAGCCGCGCCAAATCACGAACGGGAATGGAAGTGTCAGCGGCGGGCGGATCGTGCAAACCACACCACCGAGTTAACTCGCCACGTCAAACGCTCGGAACAACGCGGCGTCAATGCGATGATTGCGGGAGCGTGTTCCCCGGGAGTTCATCCAGCGGCACATTGGCTACAGCTGCGACGTCTGTGACCGTCTGTGGTTCGAGAACAACCACTGTGATTAACACATTGCGAAACGCATTTAACCACTCGCTATACCCCTCTAAGACCGTAATCATGGGAGGCACAATGCGCAGCCTGAGAAATAAACACTGGGGTATACCCAAGCAAAACGTGTGTCTAACCTTAAGATATACCAACGTGTAACCAATAATTGTGGAAGGCTTCAAGTCCACGTTGAGTGAGCCCACTACTAAACACCAGGGCCGCACGTTTCATCTTTCGTTGGTTAACCATTTGTACGGACTGCTTAGGCGGCGTTTTTTTTTTCTCTTTTTTTTTTACCTTCTGAGCCATTGTAGATGCGGGACCTACCAAATTTTGGTTCTTTCTTCTTTGCTTTAGAACCAGCAGCAGCCCTCAGTGAGTGTGAAACGAATTTTGTTGTTGTTGTTGTTGTTGTTGTTGTTGTTGTTGTTGTTGTTGTTGTTGTTGTTGTTGTTGTTGTTGTGTTGTTGTTGTTGTTGTTGTTGTTGTTGTTGTTGTTGTTGTTGTTGTTGTTGTTGTTGTTGTTGTTGTTGTTGTTGTTGTTGTTGTTGTTGTTGTTGTTGTTGTGTTGTTGTTGTCGTCGTCGTTGTTGTTGTTGTTGTTCACATCAGCACAGATGGTAGGTCCATTCCCGAAAACGGCTAACGGTAAACACTCTCGTTCTAAAACGAAGGAAAACCACGTTGCATGGATGGAAACCTTGAATACCAAAACATGTGCCTGTAATAGATTCGTCCCTCGTAGTTACGTCGACGGTTCGTAAAAAACGGGGTAAATAAGCAGCGAAAAAAAAAGGATGGACCAACAAATCTATCAGCAAAATTACAAGGCATTTTCATAGAAAATGTCAGGTAATAACTTATCGCAACAATTTGCGTTAGAACACACACACAGGCCCACATGCTAATGGGGACTTTTTCGCACCAGATTGTTGGCTACATTCTGATGTTTTCGCCGCGGCAAGAGTGGCCCAATTTAATCCGGCTTCATTCTCCAGCTGGGTGCCCTCCTTCCCCAATATGCTTGCCAGTTACTCGCCGATTCTCGGAAAGTATGGAACCGTGACGTGGTAGGGTTGTTTGGGGGAGCCTTAATAGTTAGTGCCACGCTTTGTAGAATATGCCATGGGGGGGGGGTCACTTTTCCGGCCTTTACGTTACTGGCACGCTCGAAGAATAAAGCTCTCCTTTCACCCATTGTTCAGGAAGTCAGGAGGGGTCGCTTATTTTTCTTTTCGACATTTTTTCTTAGGAGCTACACATACACTTTGCCTGGTTTAAGAGCGTCTTGACAACCGATGCCATATGGCGTTAGTGAAACGAGTCATTTCGAGAATGCTGGTCACTTGTGGCATGGCAAACGCTATGTCCACCAAAAAATGAGTGTCTAAAAACTTGCGCGATAACACCGAATCAAGGCATTAATCAAGGTATAAACACTTTTATATATTAAATAAAAATTAAATGTTTGCTCATAGGAGCTCGGCTTGAAAGCAAAAGTTATATAAAGCAATGACAAAGAACAAAAAAAAGTGCTGTGTGAAGTAGTTACAACTGCAGATACACATTCAGAGTGGTATGCGTGCCGCCAGTTTCGCAGGAGTGAATTCTGCAACATACGGCGTAAAAAATTCATAGCTTGGTCTTATGAGACTGAAAACTCGTCGCGGAAATGCATATTTGAAAGTACTCGAAAGTTCCTAGAAGTTATGGTGACAACAATTGAAAGAAAACGCATTCAGGTGTGTTTACAACTCTGGTATTAAACAATAAACTGCGTTATCTATACGATACTCGCGTGGTTACGTCAGATAACAATAAGCCCAGGGTTCAGGTAGACGGCGTTCGTTTCGGATCAGTGCACTCTGGTTTTGCCGTCATTTTTTTTCGCCTAAGGTAGGCACTGTTGCGCGACGAAATCTTCCCTGGAAGTGCAGTCGAAGGCGGCGGCGAACTCGGGCATGTTGTGAAGCGCCACCAAGCAATCGGCGCGCGGAGAGAGCGGGCCCACGCTTCTAGTCGGGTCCGCGTCGCACGAGAGTAAGCAGTAGCGGGCGAAGAACTCGGCCTGGGCCTCGGGCCACAGCTTCTTTAGATCCTCGCTGTCGGCCACCGACTTGCCAAAGCTCGCCAGGAGGGCGTCGTACGCGAGCCGTAGGCCCTGGGCTCGCAGCAGCAACTCGTGACGCTGCCACTTGCCGCTGTCGTCGAGCTGGCGCTGCAAGCCCAGGCGGCTGTGCATCCGTTCGAAGCAGGCGGCGCTGATGCGGTACTTGCGCATCGCGCCTCGTGTCCACCAGGCGTCGGAACGCCGGTGGCCGCCTCGTCCCTGCGTACCGCAACGATATCAATGCGTGTGATTTGTGCCCATATTTTTACAGCGAAGCTTATTTGGCAAGGATGTGGCAATGTGGCGGTTCGGGGTGCGCAGAAACTATATTGAAGAAAAAACTCCAGCATACGCTATACGTAAAAGGGTCTGCGTGTTTACACTAGTTTCTGTTCAGGTTTTTCTTTCGGTGAATGGAGTACCAACTACTAAATATAATCTTGTTCATTTGCTCCCGTTTGTATTCGGACCATGTGACTACTGGCACTTCTTTACATGTGAATGTTTTTATTAAAACTTGCTGGATAACTTACGCTGCGTTCGTGTGGTTCTTTCTTCGTTCCCGTATTTTTTAACCTAAATTCTACTATAATGCTGAACGAACTCGCCCAATAAGTGTCTCTTCAGAATATGGCTAAGTATCATCATCGCCAAGCACAAAAAGCAATAGCATTTACAATGTCATTATGGTGTTCTTCATACCATTTACGTTA